GGTGATACAAACTGCCAGAGATACGCGAGATCGTACATCAAATAGTACGCTTCCCTGAGGTAAATTCAAGCGGGAGATTCAAAGGTAAAATTAAATAAATAAATAAAAGTGAAACACACACGAATACGGCCTCCGCGTGAAAGCCACCGTCGTCTCTCGTATAAGCGTAGAAAGTAAATAAATTGAAATATGTCGAGAATTAAATCTCAAAGGATTTAAGGAATAAATAAATAAATAAATATATATAGTAGCGGCATCGCGAATACGTTCGCATGTTTGTACGCTACTGCTGAAAGAGAGAGAAAACAGAGAAACAAATATATATATATTATATTTTATTGGGAAGAAGCAGAAATGGAATTGCACGCAAGAAGGATATTACAGCTTATTTTTAGAGAAGTAACGTCGGGTCGTTTTCGTGAATGCATGGTGTCGCAACGAGCTTTTTAGAGGAATGCGCGCAGTGATTGACAGGAAACATATCGTCGAGACGTCTATATTTTGCATTTCGTTGACGAACGAAGGAAAACGAACAGAGGAACGACGATCCCGCCATTACGATCGCGACCCGTGTTCCGCTGATTTTTGCAATAAAATGCTGTACGTAAACGATAGAGGGTAGTGAAGGCTCGCGAATGAGAAATTACGTGTTCCGTGTGTTTTCTGTGTGGGTGTGTGTATGCGTGTGTATGCGTGTGTATGCGTGGTGGACGTGTGTTGCATGTGTGCGCGGGAGAGTGCTCAGCTGATCGTTCCTATGAATGCGTGCGCATGCCCGAGTGCTTGGTACACGTGCATAATGGCAAGTACAGAACACGCGCGGGAGAAACGCTAAAACAAGAAAATCTTACGAATAGTTCGCTCGAGAAGTAAAATGTTGCTAACTACTTCAAACGTAGCCGAACTGAAGAAATTAAAGACAAAAGAAAAAGAAAAGATGAAAAAACGTACACTGGAATCGTAACGAAGATATAGAATCGTCGATGGAAAAAGTAGAGGATAACGTAGAATGCTTATTGACAACAACAACATCAACAACAACAACAAAAATGAAACAAACACATGTCTCACCGCAGTACCTAAATTAATCGCCGCTGCCGCTGTGTCACCGTGTCGTTTCGCCGCCACTGTTACACTAGTACTGCGACACTATTACTACTACTACTACTATTACTACTACTACTACTACTACTACTGCTACTACTACTACTACTACTACTACTACTACTACTACTACTACTACTACTACTACTACTGTCTGGACTATTAACCTATTGTTATCATTAACATCGTTACTGTTATCATTGTTATTCTTCTTTTGTTGGTTAATAGTATCATAGTTGAACAATTGTTGGAAAACAAGATATCGGCCCTTTCACGCGAGTCTGTGCTTTTAAGTACGAAAATATTCCACATCTCTATACTTTGAAAACTGTGAATTTTAAAATGCAATAATTTCTCGAACATCGGATCTTATGTTCTAAACTAACGAAGTTTGTTTGTATCCCACTTTAATAATAATACTGGATTGATATTACATATTGTTGCGATGGTTAATGTGTTACGAATACTGATTATTAGTTGTGATTGTCGTTAAAAAAAGAAAAGATATAAAGAAAAAAAAACGACTGGACAACCAAGCTTGGTGTTTCTTTTTTATTACAACTGCAATTTCGACTCACCTCAGACTGCGGATGAGAGCATACGAACAAGCACGGAGTTTGAAATCCTCACAACCACTGACTCGCATGTTTTTGATACACAAGTTCCAGTTGACAGTTGCACGCGTCACGCGGCTTGCTTCAAAAGCGTGGTGTTCGCAGGAAAATGTAAATCGTACACTCACCTCGAATTCTCTTTCTCCCTATCCGTTGTGACTTGAGTACACGTTGACACCCGTATATAATTCACGGATTCACTTACAACTTATTCTCCTTTTCGGCAAGTATTATATAATATATAAATTACAGGCAAAATTATTTTCACGATGATTTACTTGTTTAGGTTAAAAACTAAGTTGGCGTCAACGCAATCCTGCCACGGATTCCCGCCAAACTGGAACGTACTATGATAATAAAAGCCCCAGCGTAAAGCTATGTGAAAACGCACTAAATTGTATTAAATTTTTAATTTATAAATTGTTCGAACTTACGTTTAACCTGAACAAATAATGTATTTCTACGTCACAACTATGACTGTGGATTAACATACGTAAAAATAACCGGAATTAGAATTTCACAAGTATCCATGAATTAAAAGGTTCAAATGTGCATTGTTCTGTTCAAGTGATAAATTTGAAACAACGGATAGGGAACAAATGAAAGACAGATTAAAAAGACGAAGGGTAGTCGAAGAGAAAAGAATTTCGTTATGTTCCGCTCAATTAGTTTAGTTGATCGTCTGGCTGTTTTAGATGGTAAAAAAATATGTAATATATCCCGAAAATGCCTAGCGATCTTTCAAGAGTTGAACTTCCTTATTTTCGCTTGTCGAACATCAGATAAACGTGGCATAAAAATGTAACTATTCTAGTTGCTCGTCTGTACGTAACGTTTAAGCCGATTCGTAAGATTAGAGAACTCTGTTTCGAGTTAATTTATTCATAAGTAAGGACAAAAAGATGTTAACCGGTCAGAGCCAGTGTTACGAATCTCGCTATGCTTCACATCCCGGCACTTCGTTCTAAAGAGTAAACGAAAACAAGAAAAGTGATTCATTTTTAAAAGTTATAAAAAAATAAAAGAATGCATCCTGAATTACATATTATCATCGAACTGCGGATTTTATGCATGCACGGCATACTCATTCGACGAGAGATCAATATAGTACAAAATGTAATGAAATTATATAACATGGTTTTCATTTTATCTGTAATCTAATAGCCTTGTATAGAATGAACGAAACCATTCCAATTCCCACAATTTAGCCGATGAAAATATACATTTGCATAAACATCCGCAGTTTGATTATTATGTTTACGTAACGCGATCCATTCTGATCACAAGGGAAGTCATTTATCGTTTTCGAGTATACCTAATTTTTCTCCCTTTACCGTGGTATATTTCGAGCGTAAGTAAAATTGTCCCACCGAAATAAAAAAAATAAAAATAATAACAATAAATCGTAATGCGTCCATAGAAGACAAAAATCCATGAATTCTTTTGTCGCTGTCCTGTCGATGTACCGTGATCCACGATGACCATAGAAAATGTGACGCCTAACAAATAAAAATTAAACGATAACGACACCCTCTTTTGAACGTTTAATTTTCCTTCTGACGTACCCGTAATGGATCATAGGCAGCGGAATGTAACGGAACCGTTCCATTGGAATTCCTATTTCGTACACAAGGTCCGCGGCAGTTCAGTTCTCCCGATACTCGCTTCGTACATATCGTTCGCCCACAATCACATCAATAAAACAAAACTTACTTGGCCACACTGCCCCCTATTCAAGCATATCGAATGAGAGCGAGAGAAGAAGAAAGAGTGAGACGGAAAGAAAGAACAAAAGTAAAA